TTTTTTTTCTTTTAAAATAGTAACACTAGTCTTTCTAATCTTTTTATATTCTATTTGTTTTCTTTTTCTTTTATTTTTATTTAATCAAAAAAGGCATCTAACACTAGCTTGCGCTATTCTTATACTATTCTATCTGTTTTCTTTTTATTTATTATATAATAAAATAAAACGTACTACGTGTACTGCATTGAGCTAACTGAGATTTGTTATAGCACTTGCGTATCATTGCTCTTTTGTTGATTTTGATTGCTTCCATTGTTCTCATTTGTAAGTCGCTTTGGACAAAAGCATCTGCTAAATGACTAAATGTAAATGTAAATATATATATTTATATATGTATATGTAAAAGATGTCCCATAATCTTCTGTGGTCATAGAATTTACAGCTTTAATACCAAAAAATTAAGCACAGATCAATATGAATATATTTTCCAGATGCTGGTTGTTGACTCATGTGTGTTTGTTACTCTTAGACGGGAGCACTCTAAAGTGCCTCTTATTGTGAGACAGTGTGTAGAAGAAATTGAGCGCAGAGGGTTGGAGGAAGTGGGCATCTATCGGGTCTCTGGTGTGGCCACAGACATCCAGGCCCTGAAAGCTGCCTTTGATGCCAGTAAGTACTTCTTGTAGGGATAAACCTACAATTAAATTAAATATAAATGTAATTCTTCATATTGTATGTATTATATGTATTTTTGTTATGGCTAAAAATTTGTATTTTTTTGTGATTTAACAGACAATAAAGACATTTCAGTTATGATGAGTGAAATGGATGTGAATGCCATCGCTGGAACGCTGAAGCTTTACTTCAGAGAGCTTCCTGAGCCCCTCTTCACCGACGAACTCTATGCAAATTTCACTGAAGGCATCGGTCAGTTGAGTGTTTTTCAAGTTCTAATGAATAATCATTTATTCAAAAAGTTCATATTAATCATTTATTTTTGTTTATTCGTTTTCTTCAGCATTATCAGACAGTGTGGCAAAGGAAAGCTGTATGCTCAATTTGTTGCTCTCGCTACCCGAACCCAACTTATTGACCTTCCTGTTTCTGCTGGACCATCTGAAGAGGTGCCGTCTGATCCCATCATTCAATTTCCATAACATAAGTGAAAATATACATATTTGAATTGGTGTTTGCGATAACTTGATTCAAATCTAGGATCAAAATATTGTAGGAACCACCTAAAACACCATAGCTTCAGCATTTTTTCTTTACACAACTATCTGTAGAATAATCACAATTAACCTCATAATTTATAGCCAGTCTTTAATAAAAAATTAAACTGTGTAAATACATTTTTTTCTTTTGAGATGCCTGCTATTTTTTGGATGGCAGGCACCATTCACATTTGTTTTAGACCTAAGTGTTGACTGAAATTTACCCTTATTTCCCTCAGGGTCGCTGAGAATGAGAGCGTCAACAAGATGTCCTTCCACAATCTCGCCACAGTATTCGGCCCGACCCTCCTTCGCCCCTCTGAAAAGGACAGTAAAATTCCATCCAATCCCACGCAGCCCATCTCTATGAGTGACAGCTGGTCTCTTGAGGTTATGTCTCAGGTAATAACCAAACAATACTAGAATTCTAGGTTAACTGACCTTAGGTCTCAAAGCATCAAATTAATATTTCTGTTGATGTATTGGTTAGATCACTTTATTCCTCTCCGTCTCTATAGGTCCAAGTATTACTGTACTTTCTGCAGCTGGAGGCGATCCCTACTCCGGATAGTAAACGGCAGAGTATGCTCTTCTCCACGGAGGTTTGAAAAGGAGCTCAGAATGTACTGGGACTGAAGTGATTCAGCATGTGACCAATGGAGGGCACCAACATCCTACTGAAATCTTCAAAGCGGAGTGAATTCCCTGCATTAGTATCATTCTGTTGATATTTCTGTAGAAATGTACAGTGAAGAATGACAAGCCAGTCTGATATCTTCTCATGGACTCACTGTTACAAGCACTTAGAGTTTCAACATGCAGGTGATGTTGTTTATTTTCACTGTCATCCATTGTAAGATATCTGATTGAATGGTGGCTCACACTTTGAGTGCCAAGCTTTCCGTAGATCATTGGATGGTGAATGTTATTCTTGCATTTGCTCTTGTTCCTTCCAGCACTGTGGGTTTATAAAGAATTACACATTCCAGTGATCCATGAACATTTTATTTGATCTGACATTTTGCTCACCTATGATTTATGCCTTACCGTGGCATGGGCTACGGAACATCTGAATACGCAAATCATGAGGAGGAACACATTTATATGGCCCCTTTCTGATGGATAAAACAATGCAGAGAACGAAAATATGAGACTCTTTAACCAACATGTGACTATGGTCAACATATTAGCATATTAGTTCATAATTAAAAAGAATATACAACACAATTATAGTTTCTAGCACTCCCATGATTCCCAAGAAATTACATTCCTTTTTTTTTAAACATTTCTCTGTTTTATCTCAAATAAATCTACTTAATATTTGATTACGGAGCCTATATTAAAACAGTGCAGTACACATGGGTCATATCACATGATATTATAGGACTATTACACATTATTTTTCAGTACTGTTCAAACTGGAAACCTCACATAACCTCGGAAATAAACCATAAAATAGTTTTTAATCTTTATATCATTTAAGGCATTGTTGGAAATGCATACATGATTAACCGTTACTGATAGACTTAATATATTAAAATGGATATAGAAGTTCTCCATCAGAATAATATCACTGCTACATTAGTTTTCTGTATTGAAAAAAAGCAAAAATTAACTTAATTCAAACACTGTACATTTTTCTTGTTTAATGGTTTAAGATCATTGTATTTTAACTTTGTAAAACCTTTTTTTTTTTTGCTGTTCACAAAACTTGCAAGTACTTTGCAATCCTGAGCAGTGTCAATACCTTGCCCTGTTAAGTGTGTGTGTGTGTGTGTGTGTGTGTGTGTGTAAATTGTTCAGATTATCATGGCTAATATGCATATATCTGTATTATGTTGTTCAGAACAGAGGAGAGGTTGTGTATTATTAGGATGTCATGTAACATGCAGGCATGTTGTTTTGTTTATGATTTATTTTTCTTTTAGAGATTTCTTTTAGTTATTGTGTGACACAGATTCTTTCCGCTTGTGTATTTCCTTTAGACTAAGGAAAACGGAGACATTCCTGTAATTGTGTTGAAGATCTTTGCCTTTCTTTGTTCTTATTCCATAGTATGTTCTGGAATCTGCACTTCCTTTATTAAGCTCCTGCTTGTTTCTCTCTTTTATTTGGTCCATTACGCACTGTACTGATGAAGATATTCCTGACTGCATTTTACAACCCAGCTTCCATGATGAGGAAATGTTCTGTATATGGATAAGTATGGCACAGTGAGGATTAAGGAGATGGATCACAATAAACTCCTTCATCCTCTTGTTTCCACAGAGTCATTGACTGTTCTGTATGTTTATCTGACCGATGACCAAGTACATTAAACAGTCCTCAATAAAGGCATGTTGTTTTGTTTATGATTTATTTTTCTTTTAGAGATTTCTTTTAGTTATTGTGTGACACAGATTCTTTCCGCTTGTGTATTTCCTTTAGACTAAGGAAAACGGAGACATTCCTGTAATTGTGTTGAAGATCTTTGCCTTTCTTTGTTCTTATTCCATAGTATGTTCTGGAATCTGCACTTCCTTTATTAAGCTCCTGCTTGTTTCTCTCTTTTATTTGGTCCATTACGCACTGTACTGATGAAGATATTCCTGACTGCATTTTACAACCCAGCTTCCATGATGAAGAAATGTTCTGTATATGGATAAGTATGGCACAGTGAGGATTAAGGAGATGGATCACAAACTCCTTCATCCTCTTGTTTCCACAGAGTCATTGACTGTTCTGTATGTTTATCTGACCGATGACCAAGTACATTAAACAGTCCTCAATAAGAGTTCGCATTACTCCCCAGAAGACGTTAGGACACAGTGGTTTGCGTTCAGCATTCCTTCCTCTCCTGGAGCTCTATTGCTGAAACAATAGACTTTGTTTATTATTATTACTGGACAATACTGAAACTGCACAATGCTATGGCAGACCTGTTACTAAATGTGGCCATAATGTGATTCTGAACAAAGTAGATGAATAATAAATGTAAAGTTGGTTAAAATGATTATTACAGATCCCATGTTTTTGTTGATATGTTTAATAAGCAATTCTCTAACATTAACCTATGTTAATGAAAAATAGGCAGTTTCAAACGTCAAACTGGCATGAGAAAAAGTTGTATGCTTTAATTTATGGTGAATGTAAGTTTATCTAGTGAATGGTAGCTTAATTTAGGCTAAATTTGCAACCCTTTTTTGGCAACAAATTTTATTTGTCAGTTTTAGGAATGATTTCCTTTTTTTCCGTTAATGCTTGAAAATGGCTAAATAACACAAAACAGGATTTTAAGTTAATTTTAAACATTAGACCCACTTCAAATTAGTAACAGGATTTCAAAATGGCAAGCTTCATAGAAAATAAATGGAAAATAAACAACTAATTTAATATTCAGCTTGTTTTTCCTGCTGATTAAAACATGTACACTGCTGTTCAGAACTTTGGTTTGGTAACATTATAAATGTATTTACAGTCATTTTGATCAATTTAATCCTTAAAGTTTTTTTTATTTATTTTTAATCCTATTTACCTCAAACGTTTGAACGGTAGTGTACCTCCTTTCAGTGACTATATTTATCAAAAAGATGAGTTTTTAAAAGCATTTCCTACCTCATTAGTATAAAGTTCCTGATTTAAAACACTAATTAGATTTCTTGAATAAAGGTAGTTTCAAAACCTAGTAAGCAGCTTACCTAGGGAGCATTTTGCCTATCAAACGTTTGTCTGGGGTGGCCAGAAATGCTGTCTAGTTAGGCAGGTCCTTAAGTTTTGACTTACAGTCATATGTCAAATTAGGCTCTTGTCATTTTTTTTATAGATTTGGGAGACTGTACTTAAGGGAGTCTCAATCACAATTCGGTTTTATTGCATATTTTCTCCATGAAGGTCAATAGTGACTGAGGAACCAAAATTGGAACAATGCATTATGTATGTCAGATGCCTTTAAATATTATATTTTATTAAACCTCTGGTACTTTGGGGGTCACACTTTTCCTTGGTGGTCAAAACACACAGTTTTAAGAGTTTTTTTCCTACCTCGTTAGTTTAAAGTCCCAATTATCATATCCATTTCACTTTCAGACATATATTAACCCAGAATTGATTGTTTTGTGTGCTTTGGACATTAAGCAGCTTACCTAGGGAGCATTTTGCCTATCAAACGTTTGTCTGGGGTGGCCAGAAATGCTGTCTAGTTAGGCAGGTCCTTAAGTTTTGACTTACAGTCATATGTCAAATTAGGCTCTTGTCATTTTTTTTTATAGATTTGGGAGACTGTACTTAAGGGAGTCTCAATCACAATTCGGTTTTATTGCATATTTTCTCCATGAAGGTAAATAGTGACTGAGGAACCAAAATTGGAACAATGCATTATGTATGTCAGATGCCTTTAAATATGATATTTTATTAAACCTCTGGTACTTTGGGGGTCACACTTTTCCTTGGTGGTCAAAACACACAGTTTTAAGAGTTTTTTTCCTACCTCGTTAGTTTAAAGTCCCAATTATCATATCCATTTCACTTTCAGACATATATTAACCCAGAATTGATTGTTTTGTGTGCTTTGGACAGCACTACTAAGATGGCTTCCAATATTATATTATGTTAACCCTCTGGTAGTTATAACTGGGGTCACACTTGTGATCATTGGTGGTCAAAACAGACCGAAGACAATAAGCACGTCATACGGCTGTCCCTAGTTGCTTATGAGTATTTTCAGGCATAAGTACTTTTTTTAGGTTTTGCATTTAGATATGTAGAAGGGATGTGCATCTCCATGACTCAGGCCGATACGATACACATCTCGATGCATAGCCTACGATACATTAAATATACACTTGAAGCAGCTACCGATGCAATGCGATACGATTTACCCCTATTACGATGCAGTGCGATCCGATTCAACAGAATGCGATTCGATGCAATATGATGCAATAGAGAAAATATGATCACTTTTAATGCCTCGAGGCCTGTTTAAAAAAAAAAAAAAGTTTTTTTGAAAAAAAGCCAGGCTTATTTCAGTTAGTCTGACTTATTGTCAAATGATTTGGTTCCATAAAGCAAATTTAACATAGGCCTAGATCAAGCTTAGTCACTGTGGCAACTTATGCTGGGAAACTAACCTGGTCTAAAGCAGGTAACTGTCAGGCTAAGCTAAGCTCCTCTACTGACCAATAGGAACATAATGATATTACCACTGTCTCACATACTATTATTAGACTTTTTAAAAAATGTTTACAGTTTCTAGCCATGCAGCCTTTCTCTCTGGTTTTATTACAGCTGTACCTTTTTATAGTTTGCAGAACAGATAGCAGATAGATAGATAAACATTAGAACATTACAATCTAAAATTGCTCATTAAAGCATTAAAATAACTAAATTAAAAGTTAAAATCACTGAATTTAAAAATGAAAATAAATAATAAAGAAAATGACTAAATTTTTAACTGTTATAAGAAATGCATATTAACTCATTTGAGCTTAGTAATTAGTACTGTAGCCTATAGCTTACATTTGATTTAACTATTACAATAGTCCACTTAGTGATGCGTCATATTCATGCAGCAGCAGCGGTGATGAGAGAACGTGCTTGAGAAACAGTTTAGAGAGGAGAAATCAATCTACATATAAAATATTCATCACTTTCTATATAATTAAAGTATAGCGCATCCACTAGTAATTATATATAAATCGTTTTTTGCAGATGCAAATATGTCCAACTTGTATCCGATGCACACTTTTTAAACCGATGCATCGCACCGTTAACTTTTTATGCCGATGCACCAAGCGAATCGGGGAATCTTCCCATCCCTAATATGTAGACATTATCAAAGCCTACTTTGTTAACCAAAAATTGTTTTAATATTTCCCATTCATTTCCTGTATCAGAGTTCACAGATGAATTTTTTTAATACCATTTTGCCTTTTCCAATCAATCCACGATTATATGTTCATATTGCAAGTGCCAAGTCACCAAGATTCGTACCTTTCAAATTTAAAACAAAATGTTAAATTCAAAATGTAATTTCTTTTTTTTTTTTTCTGTCTAAAATGACAGAATACCAGAGGATTAATTGACGTAGTTGGAAACAGATGGTCTGTTTCCATATTTGCTTAGATGAATTGATGCAGACTGTGTGAAAAAGGCCAGGAACAAAATCAGGAGCTTGTAGACGTGTTGAGGTAAGAAAATCTTACAGTGATTTTGATGCAGAGCAAGACATTTTCCTTTACTTACTTCTTTTTCTGTTTGTGGAAAAATTTCGTCTTAAACTATTTATCACAAATGCAGTTTTCAGGGAACGGGACTTGTGCAATAAGAATTACAGCCTGTTTGGCCTGCTCTCAGTCCTTGGCTTCAGCAGGACAGTCATCCCAAGCGAAAAAGTTTTTGGAGGCCATCCTCTTAAGATCTAATGAACCACCAAAAAGGTCTCCAAACAAAACACAATCCTAGAGCTGAAGCAGTGGGAGGGTTTCTGTTGCTATGAGTGTATGGCTTCACATATAGAAACACTGAAGCCCTGCTGAGATGATTCAAAGTGCATGTGGGAAAAAGATGCCCCTCATGTTATTCCTTCTATCAGTACTTCTTGCATTTTCATTGGGCATTATAACCCTTGCTGTGATTGTCAAGATCAAGGGTGATTTTAGGTTTCTATATAAAGGCAAAAAAATTTTTTTCAGAAATATCTGTGAATATGAATTTGAAATGATTGGTGTTTTGGATGCTAACACAACTAAAGGGAGGGCTCACTAAATTTATTGCATTTGAAGATTTCCAACAGATGTGCTATTTGCTGTTTTGATGGTGCAAGATGTTGTTCAGACATTTCACAGTGTTTGAAGTTCTTGTGCAGTTGGAGTAGCGTATTAGATAAAATATGAAGTGGAAAATAGGGATTACAAGAACTGAACTATGATTGCCTTTTTGTTTTGTTTTTTAATCCTGCTTCACCGTTCAAAAGTTTTAGATTATTAAGATTTAAATTAAATGTAGTATATATATATATATATATATATGCTCACCAGTATAAAACCTTTATGCAGTAAGGACACATTAAATTCAAAAGTGACTGTAAATCAACTATAATGTTACAAAATATTTATATTTCAAATAAATGCTGTTCTTAATCTTTGTTCATTGTGAATTTTTTTTTTTTTTTTACAATAAGAAGTTTTTGCAATAAGAAGCAAAACTGTTTTCAGCTTTGGTAATAATGCAATAATTCAGCATATTAGATCAAATCAAACCAGCATATTAGAATGATTTCTGAAGACTGGAGTA